ATTACCAACATAAATTTGTAATTGGTTTGTTCATTTGTATGTACATAAATGTATGCATAAACACGCGTGTGCAAATATGTTGTTATTTGGCTTAGCAAAAAAAAAGGAATCGCAGAACTTTCGGCGAAACCTGTTTTTGATAAATAAATTGAAAGTTTGCTATGATTACTAATAAAATCGCAAGCTTAATAAAGCGTATGTTATACTCACGTCAGTGAGAGTAAACAAAGCAAATTACCAATTCACTTCCTTATTAAAAAACAAAACCAGCTGGCGAAAAAGGGGAAGATGATAGATTTGCCAATTTTATTCACTTGAAATTTATGCGAAATTAGCATAGAACTAAGAATTAAATTAAGACTGGTATGCGTACAAGTTAAGCGAGAATTCCTTTTTACTGAAGCGCAATAATTAGCTAGGCCTATAATAGGCATTAATTCGCCTTCTAATTAATTGAGTTTATAGAAAATGATTAAATTTGCTGAAATTAGCTGTAAAAGCTTCCTCATTTTAAATTACCAGAGTTATAAATTTAACTAGATTAGATTAAGATTGAAGCGGCTGCCTTCATCCAATGTAGGAGAGAGGCATACTTAGACCCAGTATGCCGCGTTGTGATACCAGCACCTAGAAGTAAACCCAATTGTTTAGGTTTAGAAAGCGCGAGAAGTCTTGAATGCCTGCTTCACAGAGGTCGGCTAAGCAGCCAAAGAGGTGTGATGGTGAAATGAGCGTCTTCTCAGCCACGAAAGGGCATGTCAGTGACAGAAGAAGTCATTGGGCGCAAAACCATTCTGTAGCATCCTATTCCTATGTGGTCCGTAATAATACCGTTCAACCGCCTTAGTAGAGGGCGTTCTAACCGAATGAGGCTGGGCCAGATTTGTCGAGTCGTCGCACATGTGGGCTCTTGCTACCATCAATTATTTGCCTTCTCAACGAAGTGTGTCTTGAGCCATGTCTTGCAGGTAGATAGCGATATGCCCGCCGCATGAGAAGAGTTGATGTCAGACAGTGTATTCGGAAGCTCGGCCGCTGCATAGTTATCTCGGATGTCTCCGTGGTCTGGCACACACGTAATTTGGGTAGTAGAATTTGAAGCTAAACCATTAAGGACTTTCCTACATTCAATCGTAGTCATTGACGAGGTCTCACAACAATTTAGAGACTTAATAGTTGCTTGGATATCGGAGTATGTATATAGTTACTGAAGGCAGTTTAAGGGAGTATTCGATGAGCCAGAGACACGCTTGTCTGAAGGAAGAGTTATCTTCATAAAGTTTACTGCTAAACAATTTTTTTCTGTTCAAATTTGCTTCACAATGTCATTAGAAAATTGAGCTGCTTAACGATTACTAAACACTGTAGTAAAAACTTTAAACATGCTCACCTTCCCCTTGACTAATGACAGTCATTACCTTCACCTACATCAATTGCAATTTCATACATATACATATGTATGCAGTAAATACGAATACTTAAAATTTGCGCCGCTAGCAATTCACTATCTCCTCATTAGTTCTAAGTAGCATCGTGTAAAGTTTAACATTTATTATTGCGAATGTACATAGGTATGCAGATAAGTAAATGAGGTGAAAATTACGTACTAGCCGACTATTACATACATATGTACGCAGAAATCTATGTGTGACTATTAAATTGACAGCTTGCTATCTTTTTGCTAACATACATATGTATGCATTAGGGTGCGTCACCAAAACCGATTTGAAAATAAATCCAAAAATCTCATTATTTTGATTCCTTTCATAAAATTTGTTAACGTTTTTATGAGGTGCTTTTTTAGAAAAATTAATAGGGGTCTTCCCTTAAAATCCTAAAAGCCTCGTAAACCTCGTAAATCTCGTAAATTTACGAGCCTCGTAAAAGAACTGTCAAATTTTTTTTGATGCGCAAACGACCTCGTAAACTTCAGTGTGCCGAGTGTTGATAAAATAATAAAAATAAAAGAACGCAAATAAAATGAATGAATTTCATCCACTGACTGTATTGACTTAGGTTTTCGGCTAATTATCGGCATTTTTATACCCGAGCGCACTTGTGCACAAGGGTATTATAACTTTGTTCACATAACGGTTGTTTGTAACAGGCAAAACGAATCGAGATAGATATAGACAAATGTATACATAAATGATCAGAATGAAAAGAGAAATCGATTAAGCGGTGACTGTCTGTCCGTCCGTCCGTCCGTCCGTCCGTTCGTCTGTCCGTCTGTGCACACGATAACTCGAGTAAAAATTGAGATATCTTGACGAAACTTGGTACGTGTACTTCTTTCGGGCGTAGGACGGATGGTATTGAAAGTGGGCGAAATCGGACAATAACCACGCCTACCTCCCATATAACGGTAATTTTCAGAAATACGAAAACTGCGATATTTTAGTAACTACTGAAGACAATTCACTCAAAATTGATACTTACAATGAGTTTCAGACGGAAAACACGAATATTATAAATTTTTGCAAAATGGGCGTAGCCACGCCCACTTATGGTTACATGTGTATATCTTGGTAACCGCTGCACTAATTTCTTCCAAACTGTGCACAGTTGTTGGCCTTGATACATCACACTAAATGGCCGAAAATTTTAAAAATCGGACAATAACCACGCCTACCTCCCTTATAACGGTAATTTTCAGAAATACGAAAACTGCGGTATTTTAGTAACTACTGAAGATAATTCATTCAAAATTTATATTTGCAATGAGTTTTAGACGAAAAATTAGAATATTTTAAAATTTTGGCAAATGGGCGTAGCCACGCCCACTTATGGTTACATGTGTATATCTTGGCAACCGCTGCACCGATTTCTTCCAAACTTGGCACAGTTATTGGTCCTGGTACAGCATACCAAATGGCAGAAACTTTTTTAAATCGGACAATAACCACGCCCACATCCCATATAACGGTAATTTCGAGAAATACAAAATCTTCTATAAATCAGTAAATATTAAAGCTAATTTATTCAAAATTTTATGGTTGCAACAATTCTTTACCAAGAAATACGTTTATGATAAAATTTTGGAAAATGGGCGTGGCACCGCCCACTTGTGATGACATATATGTATCTCGCTAACCGTTCTAGCAATTTGTACCAAACTCGGTATGGTTATTGTGCTTGCCACATAAAAGCAAACCGTTGTAAATTGTTGAAATCGGTCTAAAATTACGGCCACTTTTCATGTAACGGTAAATTTCAGAAATGCTTGAAATTTCAATATTTCGAAATTTAAGGACGCTAGTTTACTTAAAATGTATACACCCCGGCTTATCATGTAGCGGTAGCTTTCGGAAAGGTGGAAAACATATATTTAATACTTGCGCCGGGTATTTAATGTTCGGCTCCGCCCGAACTTAGACTTTCTTACTTGTTAATTGTATTTTAGCCAAGAGTGCTGGAGTCAATATGGCGGAATATTATGGAAAATATTACGAAACAAAACTTGCTTCACAAAATCTTGGTTGATCTGTCGAACAGTCACTTTACGCACCTTTTTACACCTTTTCGCATAGGGGGCGTTCCCATAAAAGCCTCGTAAACTTACGAGTTTTACACGATGTAAGACTTTACGAGTTCAAGGGAATCCCTTAAATGCTTTTTTTTTATAAATAACTCACTTTTGTCAGGTATTTTCAATCTTAATATTTTTCAGAACTATTTTGGCGGCGGTCATAAAATATTTATAATAAAATTTA